AGAATAATGAGTATGCAAATATTCTTCAAGCTTAGCGCAGCAAAGTTGAACAAGAACGTCGTTAGCGGAGGAAAGTTGAACAAGAACGCCGTTTCTATCTTTTCCTGTTGGGTCAAACAACAATCTATATAAACTGGAGAATAAGATATTTTAAAAGTTTTAATATTAGGATTACTATCTTTTTCTCGGTACTATTAAGAGTAACTTTCTTGGCCTTGTTTGAGTACTTATTGCAGTTTTATTTTCACAGTAGCCTATGAAGTCGTGAACCCAGTAGTGCTGGTAGCCTGTGTAGTCGTGAACCCTACTAGTGCTGGTAGCCTGTTTATCCTCTAACTCATTAGTGCTGGTAGTCTGTGTAGCCGTGAACCCTACTAGTGCTGGTAGCCTGTTTAGCCTTGAACCCAGTAGTGCTTGTAGCCTGTTTAACCTTTAACCCAGTAGTGCTGGTAGCCTGTTTAGCCTTAAACCCAGTAGTGCTTGTTGCCTTTTTATCCGTAAACGTAAATTCTAAATACGACATCATATTAAATTAATATCTCACCACATGCGCTATTGATACTTCTTATATCTATCTGGTTTCAGATTGAGTCAAGACTGATTCAAAGATACTTCTTATATCTAACTGGTTTCAGATTGAGTCAAGACTGATTCAAAGAAACTTCTTATATCTAACTGGTTTCAGATTGAGTCAAGACTGATTCAAAGATACTTCTTATATCTAACTGGTTTCAGATTGAGTCAAGACTGATTCAAAGATACTTCTTATATCTAACTGGTTTCAGATTGAGTCAAGACTGATTCAAAGAAACTTCTTGTATCTAAGTGGTTGCAGATTGAGACAAGACTGATTCAGTAAAACTCATTGTATCTAAGTGCAATCATCTCTGCATGAACCAGTCAGGATAAACAATACAAGTGCTTCAATCTTCATTCGTCCAATTAGCACCGACAGTATATAGACTGTTAATCAAGCTCTATTTGACGCCGTGCTTAGCTCCCTGTTATTTGTCTGCGTCAATACGAAATATATAATTATCGTGCGATCAGCTTGTCGGTTGGCAACCAGCTAGAGTGGTTCGGTAATTATGAGTTTTAGTTGTAACAAACTTGCATTCCTCATCCTTGACGAGAGATCGCTATCTCTAACGTCTCTAGAACAAGCTGATGAGATGGGAGGTTTTAGATGGTGAACTCATTTTTTACCTGTAGAGGTCGTGGCATTCGAAGTCGAGTGATAGAAAGAATGTTTATAGACTGGATGATTGCGAAGTGTCTCTGTGTTGCTGAGAAAACAGGTTTTATATCGTACTGGATTAGTACCTGGATACTGTCAATATAAAAATAATTCTATTTCAGACCAACTTACTGTGGTTATTGTTAAGTTATACAATGGGTTATCTGTGATTTGTCCAACATGGGTATAGAAACCCGAATATTAGTGTCGTAAGCCTACAGACTTACCGCTGAGACACTGGACGACCAGACTTAGTGAAACTTTGCTATTTAGAAAAATGATTCTCGATGTAACACGATGAAGATCAGGCTCTCTGGGGACCAGACTTAGTAAACTGTACTCATAGAAACATGTGGTGTAGATGTAACACGATGAAGATCAGGCTCTCTGGGGAACCAGACTTAGTAAACTGTACTCATAGAAACATGGGGTGTAGATGTAGA